TGCATGGCATGGTGATTTCTGGAAATGTTTCTGAGCTTCGTAGGAAGTTTTAGAGGGAGCTGGTGCCTCTTAAAAGTCATATTTTATCTACCAGGCCAACACTATAACATACATAGAAAAAAATATTAGAAACAGCTGACAGGATGACAACTTCTGACAATAAAAGTATCGTGTTGTGTGAGTATGTAAGTTTCTATTTTGTGTTCTGACTTATCTCTCTTCATCTCTTTCCTCTGCAGCACTTGTACCAGACAGTGTGAAGAAAGAACTCCTCCAGAGAATCAGAGCTTTTTTAGCTCAACATGCAACCTTGTGAATGACACAATTCCCTTTTTTTTGTTTGTTTGTTTGTTTTTACTCACTGTTGATCCACGAGTGAAATCCAAACTGTTGTTTATTGTGTTCATTTTAGTGCTAATTTTATTTTGTATTGTGTGTTTTCATATTGATTTTTAGTTTATGCTGCAGTTTTGGAGAAGAAAAATAAAGTCATGCCTATTTTGGTCATTCTTGTTGTAATTGCTACCTGTCTGGTTGATCAAAACCCAAAAGTGCAGACAGATTAAGTCTTAGTGCAAAAGGCAGTGGACACCCTCGACCGGTCCCCAGTCTGTCGCCCATGTCGAAAAAACCAAAACTTATAATTGCATCATACACTTTGAAATGTTATTTATTTACAGTTGTTGAGAAAATACACCCCAGAAGTAATAATGTTGATTGGCAGTAGGTTTTACGGATCAGGAGTTAATAAAAATGATCTGGTCTTAAACACGTCTTGAAATTAAATAAATATTATCTCAGATAAATAACAAAACATAACTTGCTACACAAAATACAAAAAGAGTGTGTGAAAAAAGTACATCATTACTGCCTCCATAGGAATTAAGAGGCTAAGTAGCTGCTAATCAAATGCACTTGAATAGCTGATCATCAGCAAGTGTGAGTACCTCTATAAAAGTAGAAGTTTTGGCCGTTCCCTGCTCTGGAGCTTTCAGGTGTGTGTTAATGCAGTGCCAAGGTGGAAGGACATCAGCAATGATCTCGAAGAAGCACTTGTTCCAACAGTCTTGGAAGTTTGTAAAAGATATTTCTAAACATTTTGAAGCTCATCATTCTACGCTGAGAAAGATTAGTCAGTCACAAGTGGAAAATACGTAATAGCGTTACTATGAGAGGACATCCCAGCAAATTTTCCCCAAGGAGTAACGCTTAGAGAAACTTTGATATATGAGCTACAGCTCAGACTCTACAGGCCTCATTTAGCTTGTTAAATGTTAAATTCTCAATTTGCTGTTCATACCGCCGTAGTGCAGGCAAAATGAAAGGGTGTTTGTTCAGGGTCTTAAAAATATTAGAACACACATACACACAAACATCATGGAAACACCCTACTCTGCACAATCAGACACACATGCATCCCAGATGCATCACTGTAAAATAGTCTCTTTAAAAGAAAAAAAACATAACTATATAAATAAAGAACTGAGTAAGAAAGATAACTAATTAAAACTAATTCTAAAGACTTCTGGGTATAGTACTGTACATAACCACATCAACAGTTCAGCATTCTAACAGCTTGTTGGAGGCTTCCTCCAACAGCTATAACCGTTTGCCTGATGGCAACAGTTCAAAGAATTGAGGGGGTGTGAGGAGTCATTCATGATTTTCAGTGCCCTGCGCCTGCTGTGGCTCTCGAAAAGGTCTTGGACAGAGGGGAGGGAAACTCTAAGGGCCTTCTGAGCTGCTCTAACTATCCTCTGCAGTGCTGTTTTGTCTGACATACTGCAGCTGGAATACCACGCTGATATACATGTACCGTCCTGAGGATGCTGGAGAGGACAGAGGCGTGTTTCACCCAGTCCCTGCTGGGCCCATTTTCTGATCACTGAGATGCTCTTGTCCCAGCTCAGGTGCTTCAAGATCTGAACACCTAAGAACCGGATGTCTTCTACTCTCTCCACTGGGCAGTCGCTGATACTGAGAGGAGCGTGCTGGATCCGTATCTTCCGGATTATTCACTCTACACCAGCCCACAAGACGTTCAACTTCTTTCCTGTACATTGATTCATCATTTCTGCAAATCAGTCCCACCACTGTGATATCATCTTCAAACTTTATAACTAGGTTCCCCTCATATCTGGATACAGTCATGTGTTAACAGCCTGAACAACAGTGGCCTGAGAACACATCCTTGAGGAGATCCAGCGCTCAGCATGGTGGGTTTGGAGATGTTTCTCCCAAGACATGTGTGGTGTTCAGCCCCAGTAAGTGGAGTTTCTCTAGTAGTCTCTGTGGAATGATGGTGTTAAACACTGAGCTAAAATCAATATATAGGAGTATGGCATAGGTCCAGATGGGGGATGTCTGAGTGCAAGGTGGTGGTTAATGCATCCTCTGTGGAGTGGTTAGGATGATAAGCAAACTGGAGTAGGTCAATTGATGCAGGAAGGGTGGCTGTGATGTGTGGTTTGATAAGC